TGATAATAAAAAAAATGTTCTTCATAAAATGGACCCGAAACGCTTCCTTGAATATTGACATTCAATTATTAAGCACCCTATAACTAACTGCTGTTAGACGAGATGCTCTAAAGGTGTCCACTATAGACTTATCTCTAACTAGTTTATAGGACGGTTTACATGATAAAGTTTCATATAAACATTATATGGCCTAATATAAAGTTCCTACTGATAGTTTTTTTGTATACAGAATTTCTTTAAAAGGGTCACTTTTCGATAGTTTACAAAAAGGTCAATTTATAGCAGGATACCTTGTCTAAATCATCTGGTAGAAGTAGGGGCTACTTTATAATAATGTTTTACGGATGATATATAAAAATCAACCTCCAGAATTTAATAACCTTCATGCCTGTCTGGCCGAATTAAAAAACACATGTTTAACATTTCTCTTTATTGAACGACGTTTCATCCATATTGAAATTCTAATTACGAGGGATGTCTTCTAAGTTTTGCATATAGAAACATAATAGGCAGCGCGGATCGAACGTCAGTACTGAATCTTAACCTCACTCTTTAGTAAACTTAAATTCAAAGTTTCACAACAATATGTGCAGTGTTCTCACTACAGTGAATTTTTAAGTGTCAGCAAGTCATTAGAAAAATGGAACTCAACCGAGAACATTTTCGCGCCATAATTTATTACAACTTTCAGAGACAATTATCGCAACAAGAATGCCTTGCTGAGTTACTTTCTGTTATCGGCAACGAAGCGCCACATCAGTCGACAATTTCCCGTTGGTATGGAGAATTCAAACGTGTACGGGTGAGTCTTAGCGACGATCCCAGGGTGGGTGCACCAAAAACGGCAGTCACCCAGGAACACGTCGATGCTGTGGGCAAACTCATCATTGAAGATAGACATGTGACATATCGCGAGATTGAGGCGTCCTTGAAGATCTCAAATACCTCAATTCAAAAAATTTTACATGAAGAATTAGGAGAAGAAAATCAGTTTCTCGTTGGATACCCCACCTGTTGACTGAGGGCAGAAAACAGCCAGGGTTAATTGGTGTCAAAAAACGCTTGAGCGTTTCAATTCCGGAAACTCAAAAAATGTGTACAGCATTGTTAGTGGCGATAAATCGTGGATTTACTGTTATGAACCAGAAAATAAACGACAGTCGGCTGTTTGGGTGTTCCAAGGTGAAGAAAAGCCAACAAAAGTCATCCGTTCTCGAAGTGTTTCGAAAAAGATTGTCGCGACATTTGTGTCAAAAGCGGGTCATATTGCAACAATTCCTCTTAATGAGCAAAGAACTGTTACTGCGGATTGGTATACCACCATTTGTTTACCAAAAGTCATCACCGAGCTTCGAAAAATCAACCCCGAAAGAAGAATCATCCTCCACCAAGACAATGCAAGCTCGCACACAGCCCAAAAAACAAGGCAGTATTTAACGGAAGAAAACGTGGAATTATTGGACCATCCTCCATATAGTCCAGATCTAATTCCTAACGATTTCTTTACTTTACCGAAAATTAAAAACAGACTGCGTTTTCAAAGGTTCCAGTCACCAGAAGAAGCAGTTGACGCATTCAAAAATGCCAGTAAACGAGTGGAATAAGTGCTTCGAAAATTGGTTCGACCGCATGCAGATGTGTATTAATCTTCATGGAGAATACTTCGAAAAACAATAAAGTCATTTAAAACTACCTACCGTGTTGTTTTATTTCCATATGCAAAACTTAAAAGACATCCCTTGTATGTCATCTTATAGAGGAGAAAATTATTGGCAAATAAAGACAGGAAAAAACTAAAACGATTTTGGGATTTTTTCCGTCTCTCTCCGGAAGAACTGAATTTCTAAACTTTCTAAGCGGGATTTTGTTGATTTCCTAAATACGCAACTTTGTCCCATTTAAACGACTCCGTATCTCTTACAGCTCCTGAGATCCCAATGGTGAGGGTCGAATTTGAATCACCCTGTATATATGTATAATTATATTTTTGCTAACCTTTCTCACCTGGTACCAGCAAATCAGCCCTTTGCTCATCTTAGCAGATACTTACAAACGCTATTAAGTGCCCCACGTTTTGTCATTCAGAAAATAAATAATGTCTGACGGCCCTGATTCTTGGACTATGTGTGGTATTTCCTTATTTACCAAAAACTCCCAATAAATCTATACTCGTATACATAGATATAAATGTGTATGTATATCCAGTCTGCCAGTATCACATATGAAACGTAATTCGTAGAGACGTGAAAATTTGTACACATACCAATAAATTGATAACAGTGGAAGGTTTTAGGTATGGTTTTATCGGCGATATACAGGGTGTTTCAGAACTATGTGATCAAACTTGTAGGGGTTATTCAGTGTAACAGTAGAAAACATTTGAGTATAGGTACCCATATCCGGAAAAGTGTCACTACGGCCCTAAGACGCGTTAAAATTTAGAAAGACGATGAATTTCCTAAATAGGCACACATTTAATTTTTGCCTTTTGTACATGATATCATCACAATAATTGTTCAAAATGTCTTCCACCAACCTGTATACACCGTTCATGTGGGGACATGTAAAGTCTTTGGTTTACGAAACTCCAGTAGAAACAGAGCAAGACTTCATTGGACGAATTACGGCAGCATTTGAAATCATTCAAAAGGAGTATCAAATTTAGTCAAGTCCGCCGAAATCATGTGCGACGTTTAAATCGGTGTATTCATGTTGGAGGAAGACATCTTCAGGCAGCAGCGGTGGCCGCAGTAGTAGACTCTTCGGTCTCCTAATCAGTCGCCAAGCGCTGTGCGGGTTCGAGTCCCGTCCCAGGAGAAATTTTTCTCTTGGCTATGGATGTTGTGATTGTCCGTAGGTGGTAGACGATCTCTGACTGTCGAACGCGGAGGTACCACCCGGCGGATCTCGTAGGCGGAGCCAGAATGTGTGCATGTTGCATGCACACGTGTTCCCTCGCCAGAGTCCGTGTGGCGTTCCCCCTTTCCCATGTATCCCCCTATAGCCCCACGGTACCCAATGGGTGCTTAGGCCTTAGGCCTTCGTGGTGGTTTAAGTATAAAAAAAATCTTGAACAATTGTTGTGATGATATCATGTACAAAAGGTAAAAATTAAATGCCATAAATCGTATTTAGGCAATTCATCGTCTTTCTAAATTTTAACGCTTCTTAGGGCAATAGTGACAATGAATTAATACAAAATACATTTTCTTTAATCATCCTGATGATGTACGCAGAGCAACGAATCTTATTCATGAAGTAAGAAATGCTCTCCATGAATTCCGCAATGAGCAGTGAAACAACATTTTGGGGGGATGCTCAAGTACCTACTCATCTCTGGAAGGTGGCGAAGTCGCTTAAAAATGGGAAGCGAGAACAATTCCCGCGGATGCGTGGTCCTGGTGCACACTACCTAGAGGAAAACGTCGAGGTTTTCGCTGATGGTGTGGAAACACAGTTTTCTCCCAACTATGATCTTGATAATGATCTCGACGAGTAACATATCATAAGATCCGTCTGAAGATAGTTTAGGGCCAACGGCATCAGTGACCCCGGCGCCGTCATTAGTGGTCCTTCCTCAGAAGATTCTTTACCTGAAGAGCTGCATAAGACATCAGCTGCATCTCCCGCGAACTCGCATTACACACCAGCAGAGCTTCAAGGTCATGTTAAAGACCTTAAGGCGCGTAAAGCGACTGGGGAGGATCAAATCACTAATAAGGCACCGAAGCTGCTTTCACAAAAGTCACTGACTTATGTCGTGGCTATTAATAATGCCATGCTGAGCATCCAGTACTTCCCATCGGCGTGGAAGACTGCGGAAGTTATAATGATTCCAAAGAATGTGGGTTCGATATTTCCCCAGGATATTGTCCTATTATCCTGCTGTCTGCTCCGTCTAACCTTGCTGAAAAGGTCAGATCACCATGTGATTCCTGACGTGCAATTTGGATTTTGGTCTAAGCATAGTACAGAGTTACAGGCGGTTAGGCTTGTGGAGCGAGTAACCAGGGGCTTCACCTTGAACAAAAGTACTGACATTTTGGTTCTGCATGTCTCGAAGGCATTTGACAAGATGTGGCACAAGCTCTATAAGCTAATCCAAAAGGGATTTTCATTTTGGCTGTTGAAACTTTTGAAGACCTTACTTGAAGGTAGGAAATTCCGGATCAAAATTAATAATCTCTTGTCGACAGTAGGACCTATCAGAGCTGGTGCCCTCAGAGTTTGGTTCACGGTGGATGAAGTATTGGAATGGGCGGATCGGTGGCTGATCAACATTAATTATTCGAAAACGCAAGCTATCTTGTTGTACTAAGGATCGTAGCGGCACCCCGCCTGAGTATCTTGGTGCCACTCTTGATCTGGCAGAAGCACTCTGAAGCGTTAAACACTAAATTTCAAATTATGTCTCGGCAACTCTACCCTATGCTATGTAGAACCTCAAAATTAAGTTTGACCAACAAAGTTCGGCTATACAAGAGAGTAATTATGCATATGCATACTCTGCAGGTTTTGCAGAACCTCGGATACTATCACTAACGCCTCATGGTATGTCTCCGACGAGACCCTTCACGGAGACTTCGACATCACTTACCTACGGAACTACTCGTACATCAAACAACATGCGCAGTTACGTTATAGTGAAGCAAAATCGCACAGTGACTGTTGCCTGAGTCAGAAGACTACACAGTCGAGCAAGTTTGCAAGCACACAAAAACATATATTTCTTGAAACTGATGAGCACTGTCGTATACTATTAACTTGATTGCTATACTCTTCCATCAACCGTAGCTCTCCTGGAAGGATCCCAACACTGCTGCTCCAAATAAAGCACTTCAAAGAACACAAAAACACGATGGGTAATTATTTTTTATGATTATCAATGATTTCTTGAGGATACGATCGGACAGTTAATTAAACTGTCACTATGCCGTTCCTATAACGTAAAATTAATTCCAATAATATTTAGCAGCGAGGTAGTATGATTTGAATATATAAACGTTTGTTAACAGCATGTTTTATTGGTTAACAAAATAATGAACAAACAAATAATGGAATATATAAATCACTTGGCGTTGACTTGAATACTGTTGATCGTGTTGACAATAATGTCAATGCTCTCTCTGAGTTGTTCTTCATTGATACACAGTGGTGGGGCAAATCTGATGATGTCTTCGTGCGTATGTTTGGCAATGACACCATTTTCTTTCATGCGCAGACATATGTCCCAGGCGTTGGCACAATCTGCAATGCGTCACAGAACAAACAATTTAAGATTACGAAGACTAGAAATAGGCGGTTAATCTCATGGAGTGGGGGTGAAGCCGGAAGTATCGACAATGAAGTCGGATCACTCTCCTATGTACACTGCGCAGGAGATGAATTTCAGGTACTGCGCATGTGGCACCTCTCGTATGTACGGGGTGGCCCAATAATAAAGGACGCCGACTATATCTCAGCAACAGCTCAACCTAGAGTCACCCATTAAAAAATTTCATAACAAATGTAGCCAAAGGATATTGCTGGAAATTAGTCTCAGATTACTAAAATGGCCGTTCGGCGGCGTATTTTCAATTTCAAAAGTTCAAACGCCATGATTTAGCAAAAAAGCGTAATTAACGTATTCATTTGAGAACTCTGTTATGTTGATATCTTGTTTCGTTTAGGGTGGGGGAAGGGTTGAATGCCATTTCAGAAAAAGCCTCAAACGAATTTCAGGTTCTGTACATGTGGCATCTCTCTCATATCGAAATTCCTCTGTTGCTGTCAAACTGAACGTAAACATCTCCAATTTTAGCCTTTCAGACGCATTGTAAGTAGAACAATTGCTTAACATTAATAAACCAACAAAGCATGGCAAGATGCGAGTGAATTTTCCAGTAGTTTTTCACTTAGAATTTGAAACAGGATACAGGTACAGAATCAAAATATACGCGATGATTGTGATACGAGTTTGAAAGGAAGTGTTGAGAAATTACTAGATATACATAATGCCTAACTTCTCACTTAACTGCAGATGCTGTAAGTTAAAAGGAAAATAACGAAAAACCATTACCTATGTACATGAAAACTAGAGATAGGAGGTTAAACTCATTGAATGGGAGTGAATTCAAAAATGTTGACGTCGAAGTGAATAAGTACATTGCACAGGAAATTAATTTCAGGTTCTGCGCATGAGGCATCTCTCTGTGTTGCTGTCATCATGATTGTAAACCACTCTAATTTTGCGGGTGAGTTCAAGCAGAAATATTGAATAATATTAATAATCCACGAAGTAAAAAATCTACAAAGAATCAAATGTGTCCAAATGTCCTCAAAAATCATGGCAAAACTTCAGAAGAGGATCATCAACTGAACTCGAGCACATGATTATGAAAAATGCAATTAACAGGTCGGCTAATAATGTTTTTGGTCTAGGAAGGAAATTACAGGAACAAAATGTACGTGATGATTGTGATATGGGCTTGGAAGGTAGTATTGAGAAGTACCGATATATATATATATATATATGTATATATATATATATATATATATAATGCCTACCTCACAGTAGTGCCAATATGTAATTGACTGGTTTGTATCTTGCATATTTGTGAAAGGAAATAAAATAAGTCCATTTTTTCATCTTAATATTTTATTGAAACTCAGAAATTATGTTTGAAAAATATTATCAGACAAACGTCCGACTCTAGAAGCCGCGCAAGCCGGAGCCCTCTTGATTACATTTTCCATCAGTTTTTTGTAGGTTTCGGGAGGAATATTTTCAATCGCTTCCGTAATATTGTTCTTCAGCTGCTGTACAGTATTTGGTTTATTCGCATAAACCTTATTTTTCTAAAATCCCCATAAGAAAGTCAGGAGCCGTTAGATCCGGTGACCTTCGTAGCCAGTTGACATCACCAAGTCGAGAAATTAAACGTCCCGGAAATATTGCTCGCAAAAGATTCATTGTTTCCCTAGCTGTGTGACAAGTTACTCCATACTTCTGGAACCACATGTTTTGCAGGTTAAATTGTTAGATTTGAGGAGCCAGAAAGTTTTGCACCATATCACGGTAGCGCTGGCCAGTGACAGTAAGATAATTACCCACAGCGTCTTCAAAGAAGTAAGGTCCAATGACACCTCCATACCAAACATCGCACCAAACTGTGACTCGACGAGGATGTAGTGGTCGTTGACGGATGACACGAGAATTCTCTAATGCCCACATTCAATTCTCCTTATTAGCAAATCCGTTTATATCGATGTGGGCTTCATCGCTCATTATCAGTTGTCGGTAAAAATCGTTATTTTGCAAATGCAAGTCTTTTTTTTAAATAGTGCATAATGACGTGCGACGAATACCCAGTTCTTGAGAACGATGTCTGGTAGACGTCTCAGGGCGCTCCACTACACTTTCACGAACTCTCTCGATATTTTCCCGAGTACGAACAGTTCAAACACGGCCCGACCTTGGCAAGTCTTTAACTTCACCTGTTTGTTCAAATTTCGGCAGCAATTGACGAATGGGCACACTATTTCGACAGAAATCTTGTCGTATCTTCCGAATCGTTGCAACAATCGACTCATTATTTGAGTAAAATGTTTGAACAATACGGACGCGTTGTGGGATCGTGTACCGCTCCATCATGAGTTGGACACAAGCGCTTTAAACAACTACTACCACTACAATTTAAATCAGTCAGTAGACGAACTATCAGATTTATTGAGCTATATATATACATATAAAGAGAAAATGATCATGCGGAGAAAGGTACATAACAAAAAATAGGAAAATAATGGACAAAATCCGCAACAAGAAGGAAAGTGGGTTCGAGTAGAAAATATGATAGGTAACCCGAGCGATACGTATTTCTGCTCATCAGGCCCGAAATGAATGATCATATGCAACTACAAAAGTAGATACACATGCCTATACATACGGATACGGGTGCAACCCGAGTAAACGAAGATGGAGAGAGGAAAAATCACACAAGCATTATTTTGCTTTTCGGGCCTGATGAAGCCAACCAGCAGAAATACGTATGTATCGCTCGGGTTACCTATCCTATTTTCTACTCGAATCCACTTCCACCTTCTTTTTGCGGATTTTGCCCATTATTGCCCTATTTTTTGTTATAGACCTTTCTCCGCATGATCATTTTCTCTTTGTAGATCCTTTGGGCTTGACGTACCACAGCAAGTGGCTATAACCGGCAGCGTGGTTGTGGTTAGATGTCGCCTTGAAAGTTTGAGTTCTTCTAGCCATTTTATACCACAATGTGTAGGTTGGCTCTTGTTGTGGACTTCATGAGTGATTTTTTCCCTCTCCATCTCCGTTTCCTCAGGTTACACCCGTATCCGGATGTATGGGCATGTGTATCTATTTTTGTAGTTACATATCTGCATTCATTTCGGGCCTGATGAAGCCAACCAGCAGAAATGCGTATCGCTCGGGTTACCTGTCCTATTTTCTGCTCGAATCCACTTACCTTCTTTTTGCGGATTTTACCCATTATTTTCCTATTTTTTGTTATATACATATACATGTATATATATGACATTTTTCAATGCTCAGATGCTCTACGCCATTCTCTACAAGCACTAGACACTCACGCCCTCCATACAATGAATACGTGTCTTCCCTTAGGAACTTGAACCTCTGATCTCTAGTCTTCATGCTACATACTACACTTTTAAACTCCAGTTTTCTGGATCAAGATCTTAGAGCTCAGATTTATAGACGTTCACTGAGGATTGAGAACCCTTTCAAGAATGATCTCGCCCTTCAAACATTTATATGCAGAGGCAAATTGCATATGTATGAGTGAGAGAAATGGATCTCTAAACGTGATGCCGATAGTTTTTTAGTTTGACCCGCCAAAAACAGTGAAGTCAATTATATTTTTTGTACATCAGTGTACTGGTTCTTAAAAATGCATGCATATGTCGACCCTTATCATGTTGCAAAATCTGTGATAGTTTCAAAGGGTTTAATCAAAGCCTAAACGGCGAACAGCACTTAACTGCCACGATCACTGAAATTTTTACATTTATATTATTGGAGTGGCATATCAAAACAGATTTTATAATTACTTGATACTCACTTCTGTTAATCACGACAGCATTAAGAAGACCTTTTCCTCTGACCTCTATGATAATGGGTTTCTTTAGTTTTTCGGTTAACTCTTTCCTAAATATTTCGCCCATTTTGAATGAGTTCTGTATCATCCCTTCCGTTTCCAATACTTCTAAGGCTGCCATAGCTACTCTGGCTCCTAGTGGACTGCCGCCAAATGTGGAACCATGAGTACCTAAAAATCAAAATGTAAACAATCATAACCGAAGTGATTTTATTTAAATAAACTTTTCTAATGACATTCCTATAGTTTCATCTTTATGATGTCTTTGCGTTCTACTATAAAACCTTACTAGATTTGCTATTAAGGTGTTTGATCCTCATTTCCGTTTGTTCGTTGTCTCAAAAACTAGTGGATACGACTGTTACTTTGTTTTTAGAAAATATCTTAAGAATTTACGAAATTCTTGTTTAGATCAATGTAACTTCTGAAACTTATCTTGTGGTTTTCATGTTCATCTGTAATCAACGATCCAGTGTGTTGCGTCAATAATTTTGGATGGGTTTTTGCATTTTCTGAGGACTTTTGGCATGTTTGGATCGATGAACGAGGGTGATGTCTGTTACATTAAAAAAACGATGCTCGCTTGTCACTTTGAGGATCTGGGCATCTTTTTGGGAGCAAGAACGCCTACCCCAGGTTTTGCTGGTTTTGCGGGGTGCCATTTTAAAATTACAATGTTACACGACCGTTGAGACTATAAACTGTACAGGAATGTGAAAAAGGAAAAAAGAAACGAAATGTTACATGGAAGGCAGAAAACAAAAACGATTGTCACAGATGTGAATCGTACTTGAAAAAGACCACAGTGATGGTCGAAACTTCTTAAAATAAACTGAAATCTAAACAAATATTGAGTTATTGTTTAGATATTTAATCCGTGCTTCATTACTTGCTTGCTGTAAAAAATGACGGGATTTAAGCATAAATATAAATTACCTGGCTCAACTTGTAACATGATTTCATCATCTGCCAAACACGCAGAAACTGGATACACTCCTCCGCCTAAGGCCTTGCCTAGAACCAAAATATCTGGTTTGACGCCCTCATAGTCTACAGCTAACCTCTTTCCAGTTCTTCCCAGTCCTGTCTGGATCTCGTCAGCTATCCAAAGTACATCATACTTTGAACATAGGTCCCTGACTCCTTTCAGATACCCTGGATCTGGAACCCTAATACCTGCTTCTCCTTGGATAGGTTCTACCATGAAAGAACAGACCAGGGGATCTTGTAGGGCTTTCTAAAAAAATAGTCACGAATAAGGTTAAATTGTCGGGAACGGTACTACAGAGTCAATGGATCTATTGTAGCTTCCGACTTTGGTTGCCTCGAAACACCGTATTCAGTTTTGATCTTTTAATCAGACTCCCTTGGCATACATACCGAGTGTTTTGAATTCGACTCTCACAATGGGATCTCGGAATCGGTAAGCGATACGAAGTCCATTAAATATAGGGCAAATTTGCGCATTTATGCAACTAAGAAAATCATACTGGGAAAGCTTCGCAATTTATTTAGAGCACTTGTTACAGTCATTAAATGGGAAAATTACATGAACACGCTTCTCAGAAGGTTTGGTAATGTTAATGTCTGGCATATTACACATTTTTAGAATCAGGATCAAAAACTTTATTCACCTATACAAAAATCCGACAAGGCGCCTTAGAGAAAAAAGAAATTTAATGATTGAGACGAAACATCATATCGAAATTCTAATTATCGAAACTTTCTATATGCCACTTTCTTCGTTGCCTAAATGCTCATCCGATGTTAGCCCTTTTCGTACAGCTGCCACCAACCTGTCAGTGATCGTGTCCAAGAGCCCGCCACACAAATTCCTTGCATTCTGCTAACTATTTAAACATAATTCACATGGCCGGATCCCAGACACAGTCGCCAACAAATTACCGACCAGTGTACGAACAACGTTTCATATCACTTACCGTTTCCGAGATCCCAGTGGTGAGAGTCGAAAAAAAAAAACACCCGGTATACAAATGCTTGAACCCTCAGTCTTCAAAAGCCTGATAAATGATCTCACAACTTCGATGGCAGTGTTCTGATGGAAGACTCTTATTGTATTTATTTTGAATATAAGCAACTCTTTGTTGATTATTTGGAGTCTGAAATTAATATTCTAAGTATAAGAATATATTAGTTTGCCTCAAGTGCTGTCAAGTCGTTGTACGGTATTATCTGGAATCCTGGCATGTACGGCCCGTAATTCTCAAAACTTAGAGGATCTGTCGAGGCAGATATAGCAGCCAAAGATCTGCCCCAAAAATTATCTTCACAAAAAATAGTTTTAGCTTCATTTTTCGGGATTTTCTTCTTCTTATATGCCCATTTTCTTGCTAGTTTTATTGCTGTGTCACCACCCTCTACACCTACAAAAAAATGTACATATATTCTAATCGGAGGCTAAACTAACAAAGTAAATGTCAAGAAAAGTAGAAAGTCGATAGGCTCCTTTAGCAAGAATTTCAGTTCGATGCTATCCATATGACGAAATGCATCAATCATGACTGTCAAAAAAAACAGGCAACTACTACAGTGGGCCGGAGTCAGAATGCTACAGAGCTCATGAGTACATTGAACAGAGATTATAATCTCTGGACAACAAATTTTAGTTTTTTAATTGTATCTTGTGGGAAAAATGCACTTCTTTGTTAATTTTGGGGCGCTGAATCAAAAAATGACAATGAAATAAAAAAATTAGTTGCGGTTTAGAAAAAAAACTTTTGATTTTTAAGGATATATCAAAAAAGTAACAAGATTCATATACTTATAAGAATCACTATATGCGCTGTCTTTTTGCTGTTCTTTTATGGGTCGTTTCTGGAGCATCTCTACCAAGAGTCCAACAGTAGTCTGCAAGCATGGAAGGATTCCACTTTCCCTGGTACCTTTTTTCCATTGTTGAAATATCCTGATGACAACGTTCGCCGTGCTCATCACTTACGGCTCCGCAATTGTCAGGAAAAAAGTCCAGGTGTGAGTGTAGGAAATGTATCTTAAGAGACATATTACAGCCCATCTTTTGATACGATGACAGCATATTTTTGACAAGGGTTGTCAGCTTTTCTATTTCCCAAGAAATTAGTGACCACCAGACGGAAATCATTCCAAGCAGTTTTTTCAATACCTGTTAAAGTGTTTTTAAACTGTGTATCTTTCAAAATATTTCGAATCTGGTCCAACAAAAATACCTTCTTTAACCTTTGCCTCACTTAGTCCTTGGAAATTTCTGACGCAGGTATTGAAAAGCTGACCCATCTCTATCTTATGCCTGGACAAAGTTTTTCATTAGGCCCAACTTGACATGCAGTGGTGGTAATAAAAATTTTTTCGAATCTACTAATGGCATATGCTATACATTTTTTTGACCTGGCTCTAGGAATTGACGAACAGGCCAGTTTTGTCTGGTGTAATGAAGTGCCTTTGCCCAACTGTCCCATTCACACAAAAAACAGCAAAACTTTGTGTAGCCTAGCTGCAGCCCAAGTAAAAGTGCAACAACTTTCAAATCGCCACAAATATGCCATTGGTGCTCATCGTATTTTATGCATGTCAATAGGTACTTCATATTGTCATATGATTCTTTCATGTGAACTGCATACCCTACAGGAAAAGATGGTAAAATATTTCCAATATGCAATAACACTGCCTTTAAACTGAATGTTGAACTGTCTATAAACAATCTCCATTCTTCTGGGTTATAGTTTATATTTAAAGCCGCCAGTAAGCCGTTAATGTTACTGCAGAAAACCAAGTTATTCTCCATATAGAAAAATGGTTCTAAGTCTTTGTGGCGTTTACGAAAAACACATACCGAAACATCGTCTTCTAACAAGTTCCACTGCTGCAGTCTTGATCCAAGTAACTCTGCCTTACATTTTGAAAGTTCTAAATCTCTTACAAGATTACTTAATTCTGACTGTGTTATTTTGTGCGGTTGGTGGCATGACGTGCTCGGTATAAAATCAGGATCTCTTGACGTTGATGGCATATCTTCTTCCTGACGAATCACTCGATCGCCATGATCTGATTCGTTTTCTGATTCGCAAGTGTAGGATTCTGGGGGTTTTGGAATAGGATTTTCGTCACTGTGAGGCACAGGTCTCATCGCAGATGGTATGTTTGGGTAGTTAATAACCGATTTTTTTTTCTTGGACATACCTGTGGCTTGTCCAACACAAGGTACCATGCAAAAGTAACAATCATTAATATGATTTGTAGGCTCTCTCCAAACCATTGGGACAGCAAAGCGCATAGACCGTTTTTTGCCATTTAACCAGCTCCTCAGACTTGAAGTACATGTATTACAGCAGATGTGGGGTGCCCACTGTTTGTCTTGATCACCTAGCTTACAACCGAAATAAAGCTGATATGCCTTTGTTATTAGTCTAGTAATAGACCGTCTCTGAGACGCAAAAGTCACATCACCACACACGTAACAAAACTGATCTGGATTGTTTACACACTTTGGAGACATCTTGCATGAACGCTGTCAGCCAACTGAGGAAAAAATGGCTAATATAAAACAATATAATGTACACGTATGTATAACGTAACACAATCATGCCGATTACCTACATCATCTTTCCTTGCCGAATATAAAAATGTAGCACGTGCATTCTTGTGAATTACAGTATATTAACACTGTCACAGCAGGAACACATATAATTACCGTATCTCTAAAACTTGAACTAATATTGAAAAAATAAGTTTCATTCCGGTTTTAGCACATTAAAAATATTAATATTTTGTTGATTTTATTTAGGATATTTTTTGGCTGTTGATCAGTGTTATTTGTAACGCCGCAGGGAAATTTTTGATTTATGCTCTTTGTTGAAAATATTCTCAGTGACATTAGAAGAGTTACATCCAGAAAAAATAATTTCTTCAACTTGTTTTTTGACAACATAATGACTATATTTAACGCATGCTGTGGCAATAATGTCAACGCTTTATCTTTGTTTTTGTTTACCACTGTTAAAATGTTATCTCTTAGTTTTTGTGAATAAAGCAGTTTCAGGTGAGTAATACAGATATTTTTAGTTATTGCCCTTTCATTTACTAGTGTTAAGCATAAAAAAATGCCTCGAGTTCGAAGACGTCCAAATTATCACCATGTTAGCGACTCTGACAGGGGAACAATTATTGCCTAGAGAGATGTTGGTTTGTCCTTTCGCGAAATTGGATGCCGTGTTAATTGTACTGGAATGACGGTAATGCGTGTGTGTCGTGTATGGATAAAAGAAGCTAGAGGAACACGAAGAAGGCCAACTGGTTCACCGAGAGGTACCACAGAGCATCAAAATAGGGGCTTCTAACGCTATGAAGCTGTTTTACTACTGTGCGTCAGATCGCTGACCAATGGTTTGGAAAAGAAGGTAGACCTGTTACTATGCGTACACTCTATCGCCGCATTCGAGCCTTTGGACTTTTTACATACCGTCCACGGTTAGTGCTTCCTTTGACTCCGAATCACTGTCGGCAACGTTTGAACTGGAGCAGAGAACGGCAACATTGGGAGGCAGAATGGCATAATGTCATCTTCAGCGACGAATCGCGATTCTGTCTAGGTACGCACGAAGGTTGTAGAAGGGTAAGGGCAGTCGTGGAGAACTGCGAGATATTGGATTTGCTGTTGAGAGGCATGTACACAGGACTGTTGGAGTAATGGTTTGGGGGGATATTGCCTATGGTAGCCGATAACTCCTACTCTTTGTTCAAGGCAATATGACTGCTGCGCGTTTTGTTGATGATGTTCTACAAACCACTTTACTGCCTTATCTAGAGGACCGTGCACACGTCCTTTTTCAGCAAGATAACGCACATCCCCATATTGTTCGTAGTACTACGGACTTTCTTCAAGAAGCAGGCGTTAATGTTTTGCCGTGGCCACACCGTTTACCAGATCTGAACTCCATCGAACATGTGCGGGATATCATGGGGAGGAGACTATCCACTTTGCAACATCCGCCACAGACACTGCCACGCCTAGTCCACGAAGTTCGAGTTGCTTGGAATAACGTGCCACAACCAGACATCGATCATCTCATTTTGTCGATGCCTAGACGTATACAGGAGAGTATTCATATTATGTATTCATTTTTTTCTTAATTTCGTGAGAATGGTATCGTTTCGTTCTCGATGCAAGACTACCTCAAGAAATTATGTTTTTTGGGTGTAACACCTCTAATGTCACTGAGTATAGTTAATGGTGTCACATATTGCGGAGAGGTGCTTGCACAAGCAAGTCTTAATTTATGAAGGAATACGAATTATGGTATGAATGAACCAATTACTAGAATTCTCAGATCTCTCAACGCCGCTGTAAGCTACAATATAGATAATTCCAGTAGAAATGTTGAGCACATCAAAAAGCGCATGAAAAATATTTCTATTCAACTTATTTTTAGGTTTTGCAGGCAGCAGCGGTGGCCGCAGTTGTAGACTCTTCGGTCTCCTGATCAGTCGCCGTGCGCTGTGCGGGTTCGAATCCCGTCCCAAGAGAAATTTTTCTCTTGGCTATGGATGTTGTGACTGTCCGTAGGTGGTAGACGGTCACTGACTGTCGCACGCAGAGGTACCACCCGGCGGATCTCGTAGGCGGGGCCAGAATATGTGCATGTTGCATGCACATGTGTTCCCCGCCAGAGTCCGAGTGGCGTTCCCCCTTTCCCCTGTATCGCTCTATAGCCCCACGGTACCCCATGGGCGTTTAGGTCTTAGACCTTCGTGGTGGTTGGAGTATAAAAAAACATAAGAAGGTTGGGTATCACATGCATCTGTAGTTCTTGTTTCGTTTAATAATTTATATAAAGATATTGTACTCTGTTACATAAACATAATGTTTTTTACGTAGTGGGAAACTGTAAATAAACAAATAAATGTTCTTTAGTTTCGTCTCGCTACCTCGAAAATTTTCTAGTCACTTATGAGTATTTCTGAGCTTGTTACTGTGTGACAACTCACTGGACATGGACGTACCATTTAGAGTTTACCTTATATTGATCTTCGTAATATAAAACACATCAGTACCTGAAAATACAACTAACGGAAGATATTGACAGTTTTTGACAAAATTAATGGAGTATTTTGGGAAAGTGAATGAAAACAATGGTCTTTTATTAACCAACTCATATGTGCAAGAGCAGCTGCGCTTCAGGTCGGATTATCTTATGGAGTTTAAGCTCCGTGTTTGATTGAGTTGGTCGATTTGCTTACTTATTTTGTATAGAAGAGATGACGTGTCTGCCAAAAACCGCGAAAAGAACTACACATATAGCTATATCAGAGTTTTAAAGAGTCTTACACTATGGACAATTAAACACTTCTTTCGATCTTTTTTTGATATGGATATGATTATGTTCAAATAATAGGGTTTTTTTATATCACTGTACCTGTGTTCATTGGCATTAGTTTGTCATATCCAAAAAGCTTGGTTATAATCTCTGAGTATTCTCCTAAAACATCAGAATAGAAAGCTCTGGATACGTGGTGAAGTTTTGCGCATTGATCTTGCATTGCTTTCACTATTTTTGGATGGCAGTGGCCAAAATTGTTGGCAGAGTAGCCACTTAGATAGTCGTAGTAGCGTTTCCCTTCAACATCCCACACGAATACTCCTGAAAGAACAAAAAAAACTATGAATATGCCCATCAAATAATCGTGAAATGCTGGAAATTGGGTCGCCCGGGGCAAATTCGTGGGTTATTGATGCTGCAAAATTGATGGTGTTCACCACTATCTGCAGTCTAATCATCCCGCCATGCTTCGTGCCGTTGACCCAGATGTTGACGAGCTCTACTTTTTCCCTCGCATTTCGACACACACCAGTAATCTGCTCTATCCTGTATCTCTTTTTGACCACACATCCTGTCCATAACCGCACTGCTGTCTTATCGCTCCTAGGTAACTCAGACCATGGTGTTGTAGAGGTAAGGTTTTATTCAGAATCGGCTGCTGCTGTACTGACTTGATATCACGAAAGCATTCGGTCAGCTGTGGCTTACTGCTCTCTTATCCAAACTGCCATCTTATGGCCTCCCAGAGAAGCTTTGCAGATGGGTGGCTGACTTCCTCTCTGGCCGCAAGATATCCGTTGTAATTGACAGTTCTCCTCTTCAAACCACAATATCAACACGGGTGTTCCCCATGAATCGGTTTCGGTTCCGGCATCGTACCTTTTACATATGAACGACCTCCGTTCCTGTATGATCAGTCCGATCCACTGAGTTGTTGATGTCAGCACTACGCAAGCAGGAATTGAGAGTCTCACGCCAATCTCTGCCGATGAGCTGGAGAAAAGAAGACTAGCATCAACTTCCTCTTTGACGAAAGACCTGGAGGTTATGACAGCTTGGGGACGCAACAATCTGATAAAGTTTAATGCTTCCAAAACACACAGTAGTGTACCTTGACTAAGGAGGATCGGCCCTAGCGCTCATCCAGTTTCGATGGTTGGCCGAGTTCTAGCAGAGAGCCATCATTCATTTCGGCTGATCGGAGTTCAGATCACCGATGACTTAATCCAGCCCGAACACATCCCGTCAATAGCGACAGCTGCTGGGAAAAGGCTAGGCTATTTGTTTAGGGCTCAGAAGTAATTTTCTCCACATAACCTCCTCATCACTCTGTACAACGTCCAGATACGACCTTGCCTCAAGTACCGCTTACATGTTTGGGGTGCTGCCGGCTCGACTACATTATCCATGCTCCATGCTGTTCAGAGAAGGAGTTTCCGCCTGATCTCTAATGGACAGTTTTGCACCGACGTGCCGTAGGTGATCTAGCTCTCTTCTACAGCTATGGCAACGGAATTTGCTCCTTTGCTCCTCAGAGCTCTCCCTCATGATGCCGCCGCGTGATATGCTTTCCAGACAGTCCCGCCTGACATTGGCCCCCCATCTTAACCGTATCGAACTTGGTACATTCAAAACTGGCCGATACGACCGCTCCTTCGTCCCTAGGGTATCGAGGTTGTGAAAAATCTACCTGATGAGGCTTTTCCCAGTTCTTTGAGCTCCTCATAGCAACGGCGGCGCCCTGGTAATTAGACTTGTGCCTACGCGGTTACTTTGGTATACAAAAAGTAGGAATCCCTAGATCCGTCTCATCCCATACATTTACATAAAAGTCACTTTTCTTTCTATTTTCTCATTTTTTCCTGCTCCCGTTGGTTTACGAGAGAATGGAATTTGGTATACTCAAATATGCCCGTTAAAAAGATTAGGAAATATCGTGGGCCAAACTTAAGATGCAAATATTTTCCTCCTCTAAAAATTACGATATCTAGAATTCTTGCTACATCCTAAGATATACGCTGGAGGGAGAACCTCCTTCGAAAATCTATCAATGCACTTACAAGTCATACCTTACCTTCTCCCTTAGTGAGCGCCACAGGTAACGGATGATAGTTATGAGCAGCATACTTCTTCTCTTTCTCTATAACCTCTTTACTGCTGATAAGCCTTCTCTGGCACTTCGGAACCTTGGCCAGCTGATCTACCTTCAAACTTATTCTTGCAGCGGTCTTACAACTCGGCAACATATTTCTTCCACTTCAGGATCCGTTACTAAAAATAATCCACAAGTGGTGAGGAATGGGTCAACAATAATAGCAGTATCTCTAACATTTTTATCGATATCTCAAAGGTCAAAACTGATGCAATAGCACCTTATATAGATAGAGGATCAGCGGTATTTTTCTGACATTGAAATATTGCTCAGAGACATTTATACAGAATTGTTTTTGTTGATTCAGTTTTTTGTTCATCAAATCATTGTGTTTTCTAATATATTCAGTTTATCTTTCTTATGGTAAGGGAATAATTTTTTGTTTATGCAAGATGGTGACAGGCTCGAGCATTTTTTAGTTTAGTTCTTGAATACTAAATTCAAAGGAATTTTATCTCATTTCTTTAGAATGAAAACAAAAATAAAGAATCTCAAAAAGTGTAATAATGTAACGTTCACAAAAAATCACTTAAACTGGGCAGATATATTTCGATCGTTTGTTTACCTTTACATTGTGTGTTAAATTATTGGAAAAGCGTGACTAAAGTGTTTTCAGTTTAAGTCAATGAACATGAACATGCTTTTTTATGCAGACGTGTTATGACTATTTCAATTTATGTTACGATTGTCGACAAACGGATCACTTACCTTAGAGTTACAGATACATAAAAACCTAACACCGCTGACTGTTGCATTTCATAATAAGAATAAATGTTTATTTTTCTCGTAGAAATCGAGTTGATTACCTTCACCTTGCCGTATCTTGAATAAAAATATGTTTCCTTCTTACTATATATAGGTAAATTATAAATAATGTATGAATAATTATGTGTGCAGCCGCGCAGGCAGAAGTCTAAATGCCGGAACACCGCGGCTGCTATGATGATCCCAAAGAAATTTCATTAATACGATTTTTGAACTGCTTAACTTTAATAGAACTGGGAAAAGCTTCTTCTTGTAGACTGTTCCACAATCTCGACACCCTCGGGACAAATGAGCGGTCGTATCGGCCGGTTCTGGATGTACGAAGTTCGACACGGTTAGGATGGGACGCCAAAGTCAGGCGGGTCTGTCTGGCTGTCTGGCAGGAACATCGCGCGGCGGCATCATGGTAGAGAGCTCTGAGGAGCAAAGCCCGTTGGTGTAACGGTAGAAAAGAGCTAGATCGCCGACAGCCCGCCGGTGCGAAAGAGTCTGTTAGAGAAGAGTCATCGATCAGTCGGACCGCTCTCCTCTGGATAGCATCAAGCATGGATAATGTAGTCGGGGCGGCAGCACCCAAAACGTGTGAGCAATACTCGAGGCTAGGCCTTATCTACAATAGAGTGAGAAGGTCATGCAGAGAAAAGTACTTCTTAGCCCTAAGCAAATAGCCTAGCTTTTTCCCAGCGGCTGCAGCTATTGACGAGATGTGTTCGTGCCAGATCAGGTCCTCGGTGATCTGGACTTCGACCAGCCGAAATGAATGGCTCTTTGGCAGAACTCGACCATCCATCGAAACCGGGTGAGCGCAGGGACGCTTTTTGTTCGTCAAAGTACAGTACTGTGTTTTGGAAGCACTGAACTGTACAAGATTGTTGCGTCCCCAAGCAGTGATAGCCTCCAGGTCTCTTGTCAGAGAGGAAGTCAGCCACCCATCTTTAAAGCTTTTCTGTGAGGCCATAGGATGGAAGTTTGCTTAAGAGGGCAGTGTGCCACAGCTGATAGAACGCTTTCGTGATGTCTAGAGCAACGACATGTGCCTCACCATAAGACTGGAGTTTACTCCACAATTGAGTGACGTAAGCTAGGAGGTCCCCTGTGGATGATTGGTGCCGGAAACCATACTGCCTGTCGCTAATCAAGCTGTGACGTTCGAGGTAGTCCAGAAGTTGTAAGGGTCGGTCTTAGATCCCTTTTTTGGGATGGGTTGGACATGAACAAATTTCCAGTTTTCTGGGAAGGTGCCGGATTCATAAGATATCTGGAAGAGACGCGAAAGAACTGGAGCAAGCTCCGCTGCACATCTCTTCAGTACAATGGCAGGAATCAGGTCCGGACCAGAAGCTTTGTTGATGTCGAGCGACAAGAGCACTCGTCTTACGGTCTTATGCCTGAATGTTACCTCATGCATAGTGTAGGGTACCCTTTGAATTGACGGCACTTGGGCGTTGGTGGGGGGACGTCCATGGTGGAGTTGGCAGCAAAGATCTTGGCTAGCACTTCCGCCTTGGCCTTTGAGTTGAAGTACAATAGTTCCATCCTGACACGTAAGCGGTGGAAGGCTACTGTGTGAGAAGTTCTTTTCAATCTGCTTGGCCAGCGTCCAGAAAGACCGACTGCCATTGCTGTGCCTAACTTTTATATCGTGCTGCTTTTTGGCACTGCGAACCGCTGCTTTATATTTGTTTCTGGACTCAACGTCGGCTTGTCTGTTCTCTACAGTGGGGTTTTGTAAAAAGGTTCTGTGTGCCTTAATCTTCTGCTGGCGAGCAGCGTCACATGATTGGTTAAACAAGCCGTTTAACCCCGGTCTAGGCACTTTCACTGTGTGAGGGATGTATTCCTCCATTTCGACGTGGATAATTTTGGTTACCGAAGAACAGACAGCCGACGCATCCGCGTCAGTGAAACAGACATCTTTACAAGGAAAGCTAGAGAAGAAGTCTCTGAGCCCCTCCCAGTCGGCATGTCCGTAATGCCTAGTTTTGCGGCCTGTAAGAGTTTCTGCTGCCACAGCGGGTTCTGACCGAAACCTAACCTCCACAACACCGTGGTCTGAGTTACCCAGGGGGGACAGAACAGCAGTGCTGTAAGGGACAGGATGCGTGGTCAGAAAGAGATCCAGCAGGCTACTGGCGTGTGACGAGACGCGGGGGAGAAAAATAGGGCTCGTCACCATGCTGAGTCAGCCCTTGGGTAAGAGCAAACGCTTCGACTGCACGACCTGCTGCATCGGTCTTGTTTGAGCCTAACCAAAGCTCATTATGGGCATTGAAATCACCGAGAAGAACTACCTCTGAAGCGGGATGATTGATGTTCGGGAAGTCGATCTGGACGGCGAGGTATTCGAGTAGGTCATCCCAGTTATGGTCCGAGGGAGAGCGATAAAGGCAGCAAATAAATTTGGGTGATATTTTGGAGTTGAGGCGAAGCCACAGAATGTCCTTCCGCTCTGATTCCAAAGAAACATCTCTGGAGCAGGAAAGACTGCTGCGGACAAAAGCCACAACTCCCCCGTTCTTTCTCAGATTGGAGTGCACCTCGTAGTTTGGGAAGTTGAGATGGTTAATCGGTGCAGACTATGAGATTTTTGTCTCCGCCAAGAAAAGCATGGCGGGACGATTGGATTGCAGGTAGTAATGAACAGCAGTCAATGTTGCTGTTAATCCCGCAGATGTTCGAAACAAATTTTATCGTCGATGTTGTTCCCGCGAGCCCACCCTTCACCCGGACATTCCGAGAGTGGAGTGAGTTTACGTCCGGAGTTCTTAGGCCCGTATCGTCAGTCGTCCCTACAATTGTAGAGCGCCTTTATGGCCTCCTTGATTGTCATAGTTTTCTACTTTCTCGTGTCAGAACTCTATTTGAGGTTATGTCACAAACATCTATTTGCATCAAATTTTGCTTGCTTTTGAGCTATATCATGTTTTATCAGCCTGAAATTTCCTACAATTTAAAAGGAAAACATATCTTCACAATAGGAGAGCGCTGACGCTGACACGGGTCAAGTGTAATCTAGAAATTTTTGAAGGAGATAAAGTAGTATGACAATCAAGGAGGCCATAAGCGCGCCCTAGAATTGTAGGGACGGCTAACGATACGGGCCTAAGGCTAGATTGCACCCGTCCCGTGTTAGCGTCAGCGCTCTCGTATTGTGAAGATATGTTTTCTTTTAAATTGTAGTAAATTTAAGGCTGATAAAACATGATATAACTCAAAAGCATGCACAATTTGATGCAAATAGATGTTTGTGACATAACCTCAAAATAGAGCGCTGACACGGAGAAGTAGAAAACTATGACAATCAACGAGGCCATAAAGGCGCCCTACAATTGTAGGGACGACTGACGATACGGGCCTTAGTGCTCGAGGGAACCACATCATCATTAATTTCTTTGTTTTGGAAGATAACCGACTGCATAGCTTAGGTGTGGTAACATGCGGACATTTATAAGACACCTTGGGAAAAGCTAGCGGGTGGTACTGCCTCGGTCGACTGGTCTTTGTCTACCACCTTCTTTTTACGTGTTAGTGATGTTCAATAGACCTAAAGTGGCCCGTTTGGCGGACTTGTATCGCCACCCGGCAATCGGTACTGAGGTATTCCTTAACTGCTCAGTAGGGGGATGTGTTGATACAATGGAAAAATAGTGGAGTGCAATCGAGTTTGCACCTTATCTGTCTTGTTTTTCTTCAGGACTAAGCGGATGTTTTTGAGATTATATATGCTGTTCTGAAATTTGAGCATTCCTTTTTACTTTCCACGCCACTAGAGAGGAAGTATATTGTAATAGCGAAAATGGTCGAAAATGAGATATTATGTTTTTTTTCTGTTCAGACGAAAAATGGTCACTCCTGTGTATCCGCTAATCCTTGGTCTGTCTAAAACTTTGCGCTTGGATGTTGCTGAAATTTTCACACATGGCTGTAACTATGCCAATGACGTTTTCGAAAATCGATCCAAAGACAGCCGTGTTAGGGTAAAAAAATGGTAATAATAAAAACCGCTCAAACTTTGTTTTTTGACGTTTCAGAGGCTTCTGATAATTTAAGAAATTTCTGTGTAGAGGTTGGGAGTTGCAGGGTGAAGGAGGTTGTAAATATAATATAATTTCCTCGGATTATTGGGATAAATCAACAGGTGTTGATAAAAGTCTTTAATGGGACTTTACAAAGAAACATATTAAAAACCAGATTTCAAATAACAACGAACAAGTGTACAAAACTGTAAACGTCAAAACATCCTTAGATATTGAATGAGAAACGTAAAACTGTCGGAGGGAAACAAACATCCCTTAAATCAATTATAGAAGTAAAGAATAGAACAAAGAAAACCAAAGAGATGACAGTTCGACTGTGTTAAATCAACTAAAGCAAAACGAAGAAATCCGGACTATTCGTCTCTAGATATATGTATACAAGGAGCAAGCAAGAACAGTGCGTATGGTTTAAGTCAGATAATTTCTCAATCAAGAAGTAATAAATCTGACTAAGGTCGTCAGTGCCTGTTTCTTCATTCACAGCAGTATCATGTAACAAGATCAAAACTATTTCGAAAATTAAGCTTTTTTGTAATTGCTTTCAAGTTTAAATTATGATTATTCTGGAATTGAGTTGCCAAAGCTGTATCTACGTTCCCTATCATTTCGATGTACTTCTCTGCAAGAAGATTTATGTGAAGAAATTCTATTTTTCAGGTTTTGTTTTATTTGACCGATATACACTATTTGGCAGTCCCTATAAGTTATTTTGTACACTAAATTAGATTTACAGCCAATGTGCAATCTATCCTAACTGAAGAAAATAACCTTCCCACCGTCTTCTTATGGCAAAACACAGTCCTTGGCGTGTTATATGTTGAGTGACATTTAATATTTCCTGATAGTCTTTTAACATGAGGTATTTTAAAGTACTTGACGTTTGGATGATTCTGGTTAGTATGAGCCATTTGATCATTGTTATTATTGATGATTAAATTACATATTAGTTCAGGATAGTCGTTAAGTTTGATTTTCTGTTTGAAAATAGATTCGTTCAATGAATTGTGGGCAACTCAATTTGACAACTTTATTTTATTAGTGAAACCATAATATTGTATTACTGTTTAAAAGGATGCTGGGAATAAAAATTGAGCAGCCTGCCCGAGCTTATATCATCTGCTCTTGTTAAAGAGGCATCCAAAACTGGAATATTAGAGCCGTTGTTCATACTCAATGGTGAACCGTATCTTATAATGGAAGGGGTTAAAACTGTTTTTTATAAACTCTAATTTATCATCTACGTATTAAATCCTCCATCACAAGATTAACTGAAATAGGACAATAACTAGTGTCAAAACAAGCATTAATTATATTTATAAACATACGAGGTCTGTAAATTAAGTGATTAAGACTGGCAACGTAGCGTTCCATCTGGCAACACTGGAGATTCCGGGCTTGGAGGGGAGACAGAGAAATGTATGATCCTCCTTCAGTCGGTACA